ATACAATAGTCCAGGCCTGTAACTAATCCCCAGAACATATTTAAAACATGAACAGATTCACTGCAGAATAATTAAAAGATTGGGCAATTAGATTCCTGCTGGGTCTGAATCAGGATTCCCATTGGCCAAACATTTGATAAAACTCCATAACAGAAACAGAGCTGCATTCAAGACTAATCGGCTAGATCAGATCTGCTGCTGAGAAGTCACGCGAAGCAGTCAAAAACTCAAAGCAAGTGGAACAAAACAGCATTAAAAAACTGCATAAACAAGAAGGGCACACTCCATGATATGGAGATTCTTTACAGCGCACCCCCCACATCCCCCTCCCCTCTTGCAAGAGGGCAGGGGGATGTGGGACGAGAGGGAGATGAGGAAGTGGTTGGGGATGAACTTGTCCATGTAGGAGAGCCTCCTCCACCATCTCTCCTCCCTCATCTACCTTAGTGGGACCACACTCACATGGTTTGAGTCCTACTTAACCAACCACCTCCATTCCATCTCAGCAAATGGTTTCTCCTCCCGCCCCTGCCAGTCACCTGCAGGGTACCCCAGGGCTCCATCCTTGGGCCTCTTCTTTTCCTTATCTATATGCTCCCTCTGGGCAATGTCATCTGCAAACATGAGGTAAACTTCCACATGTATGCGGATGACACACAAATCTACTTTGCCTCCTCCAGTACCAACTCCAAGTCCACTGATGTTCTGTCAGCTTGTCTGGCAGACATTAGAGCCTGGTTGAGTGCAAACTTCCTGCAGCTGAATATGGACAGGACGGAAGCCATACTCCTTGGCTCCCATCAATATCGTCATTCCTGCGGATCTAAACTCCGCAATCTTCCTGGGCTCTCCTTCAGACTTACCGAACCAGTGTGCAATCTAGGCATCTGGTTCGACCTCCAGCTGTCCTTCCTCCCCCACATCCAGTCCCTGACCAGAACCGCCTTCCTCCACCTCATTGTCCGCCTCCAATCATACCTTACTCTAAATGCAGCCGAAACCCTTGTTCATGCGTTTATCACCTCCCGCCTGGATTACTCCAATGCACTTCTCACCCATCTCCCTAACTTCACCATTCACAAGATCCAGCTCATTCAAAACTCTGCTGCCTGCAAACTGACCCGGATCAAACTCCGTACCCACATCTCTCCAGTTCTGGCCAGGCTCCACTGGTTCCCCATCACTGAACGGATCGACTTCAAGATCCTCACACCTAGATCCAAATCCATTCACTCCCTGCACCACCCTACCTCTCCGACCTCCTCACCCCCCAATCCATCACCCGGTGCCGCCGCTCGACTGGCACCAGCCTCTTGTTCGTCCCTCGCACTCTCCGCCCCACCATCGGAAGTCGCGCTTTCAGCCACTACACCCCAAATTCTGAAACACTCGCCCTCAATCCCTCCGCTTTGCCCCCGCTCTCTCCTCTTTCAAGTCCTGCCTGTTCGACCGTGCTTACAGCCATCTTCCCCTCCAACCAGCTCGGAGTGAGTCTCCGCCACTGTTAAGCGCTCTGAGACGCTACCCTGTATGGAGGGTGTTATATAAGTGCAAGTTGTATGAGGGCAATAATGACCTAAAACATCTCTTATTTTGGTTTCGCTCAACAGAATATTTTTTATATTCACTTTCACTTCATACAGCACCAAACTGAACCCTGGTGTGTTAATACCTGCAATAATCTTGTTCATTATTACCCAACTCTCAGCATGTTCCTGACATTAATTTTGTACTGTTGATTACTTGAGAACTGCAACAATATTTTCCATTCATAGCCAGAAATAACGATGTAAGCTCTCCATTTTCTTCTAAGTGTACAACAGATACGCTAGACATGCCCTATCTTTTTTACTCTTATACAGAGCACTGGTCAATGTGGAGTGACTAGCGTCCAACAGAACAGGCAGATGGGACGTCGCTTTAACATTGTATGTGTAGAACATCACCTCCAGTAAGACAGCATTCTCTCAGTACTGCAATGGAGCCTCAGCCTAGTTTATAAAATGTCATTCTCGTGTGGGGCCTGAGCTCACAATCTTGCGACCTGGAGATTAGATATAATAATAATAATCCTTGCATTTGATATAGCGCTTTTCACATCGGGAGGACGTCCCAAAGCGCTTCACAGAACACACTGTAAAGTGAATTGACTGTATATTTGTGGGCGAACGCGGCAGCCAATTGCGCACAGCAATGTCCCACAAACAGTCGTAGATTGAAAATGACCAATTTATTATTGTTTTGGGTTTTGGAGGGATTATTATTAGGCATGTGGAGTAAGGAAACTTGCCCAAGGTTTCGTCCTTCCTGGAATTGAACTCAGGTCTCTCGCTTGCAAAGCGAGCGCTCAAACCACTGAGCAACAGGACTCCACGATCTTTGCCAACTGAGACAACTCAATGATTACTTCTCACTCTGAAAACTACAATTGGTATTTGCTTTATTTTACTGTTGGGCAACTTTTATTCTTTAAAACTGAATGTGTTAGAAGCACAATTTGTGCGAGTTCCACCTCATGTTTTATGAGAGCAGGAAAGGAATCTCTTGCCAATGACATTTTCATTTAGGACTAATTCCTGCTTACATCGATCAGTCTGCAGAATAAAAATGATTCAAGTAAGTGGGCATTGCCTGCATGTTTACATTTGATTTGAATGTCTCCGTATGGTTACAAGGCTCACAATCTTATATGCAGGTATATCTTTATAGAGTATGTGTGTATATAAAAACAATTTACACTGATAGCACTTTTCACATAGGAGAATGTCTCAAAGCACATTAAAAAGTCAGAATGAGAGCCTAAGTTGGAAAGGAAGATGTCTGAAGGCACCGTTGAAGTAGCTTTTTTTAAGAAGGGTTCTGAAAGCAGAAAAGGAGGGGCTACCCAGAGGGATATTGGAAGCGAGTTCCAGAGAGTGTGGGTAAAGTAGCTGAAAGCTCTCCTAGTAATGGTGGAATACAGCAGGCGAAAGACACAAAGGAAGCCAGAGATAGCAGAGAGAAGGGGACAGGCGTGGGGAGTAAGATTATAAGAGATAAATTACAGAGATAGAGTGGACCAAGGACATGAAGCTATTTAATAATAATAATACTTGCATTTAATATAGCATTTTTTATGTGGGGAGGATATCCCAAAGTGCTTCACAAGATACATTGTAAGGTGTAGTGACTGTATTTTGTGGGCAAGTAACATCACACACTTAACGTTACACAGTATCATCAAAACTGCCTCTGATCCACAGCTTTGTCTAATAAAAGGACATGGTAAAACAAGATATTCTGACAACTGTGCACAATAACCTACAGTAAACGGTTCAATCTGCTTTGTCTCAAAACTAAACCTGATGGGGTAGAAAAATACAGCATCTAAATTTACAAGCTTTTGTCATCTGAATTCTACTGTCATTGCTGCACTTTGACCAAAAGTATAAATGTTTCAGCCTGGAAGTCAAAATCAGCCTGAAATATTTAACAAACACACAAATATATCTTGGAAACCTTTGAATTCATATTTGAGAGCACACAAAACATTTTACGTGGAATTGGATCTTTAACAGATGTCAGTCAGGATGTTTTTGTTTTCAACAGTGATAGTGATCTCTAAATAAAGGTTAGTGGGCAACCCGCTTGACACCAGCCCATGAAAAAAAAATATAGCTACCAGACACCATTTGCACAGAATTATTTTTGTTCCAGCAGAACAGGCTCTTTGTGTGAACTCGGTGGTATGGAGAAAATCACATACGGAACAAACAAATGTTCCCCAGGCAACCATCTGAACCAGGTGTTGCATTGCCATCACCTGCAGTAAGTAGGACAACTTTAATTAAACCCATAAAATCCAACGTCATGTCTGGACTCATAAAAACTAGTGCCCAGACCTACAAACACTGGATGTCCCTATGCAGTGGACCAAAATATTGATGTTGGTATGTAAGTGAACCAGAATCCATATTAATCAACCATTTGCGTTCACATCCAGCACTTATCATCGTGGAACAACACAAGATTTATCCTCTACCACAAAGTGAGCCACCTCACCTACACTTCAGTACTGTTGTCAACAGTAATTTTAGCAGCATGCTGTGAGGAAAATAGGCACGAAAACCACCAAATATCTCTTTTCTCTCCATCTTCCAAGGCAGCAATGGAAGAAACACCAGATTTGAAGTTGGAACTGCTACTTTTATCAATCATCCAGAAGCTTAACACATTGACTGCAATTAATTGGCCGACACCAGCTTCCCATCCCTCCTGCCCTCCACTCCTCTTGATTCCAATCCCTAGCTTGGATGCAAACCCTAAGCTGTCCAGTGCCTTGGATGTTTTTCCGATGTGAAAACTGCTCTATAAATGTTGTTGCCCAGGATTAAACACATGTCTTAAGTTTTGTACTAATTCCTAAGTACCAAAGTCACAAGTGAGAAGTTAGCTGAAAATAAAACCTTACCAGATTGCCTTGGACCATAAACAGACCCAGTTTATCAATCACAGTACAAATGTCTCTTACAATTCCATAATTCACAGTTTTAACCTTGTGCCTTTTCCTCTTTCGCTCATAAGAACATAAGAATTAGGAGCAGGAGTAGGCCATTCGGCCCCTCTATCTTGCCCCGCCATTCAATAAGATCATGGCTGATCTAATCTAACTCCATCTATCCGCCTTATTCCCATTTCCCTTAGTATAATGATAATCCTTGCATTTGATATAGTGTTTTTTTCACGTCTTCTAGATGTCTTAAAGCACTTCACAGAATATGCTGCAAAGTGAATTGACTGTATTTGTGAACGAAATGCGGCAGCCAATTAATCCCTTTATCCACAAGATCTCTCCAACATTTATAACACAAAGGATACACTCTTCACTTGGGGTTGTCAGAATGACAGTATATTTATAAACTATACATATAACTGCAATAAATGGCTTGTATTTTTTAAACAAACTACACTTGGGTGACCCACGGAGGTTTTCATTTTTGGCTTTCTGATAGCCACCCTACCTGTCAATGCTTGGGAGATGGCCGAACTGGGAACAGTGGCTGCATCCTGAGGAACAGTGCCAGTGTCCGGCTCCGGAGTGCTTAAGGTTGGTGAGATCGGTGGAGGATTTTGTGGAATACGGGGTTTCCTCTGTAATAATAATAATAAACATAAACAACCAAATGATGCCACTTTCAATCCCTTTCAATTACTTTTGCCTGGAATTACTACGTTGGCAAAGGCTTCACCTCCATGAATGGAATCTATTTTAGACACAATAAATTAGAGAGACATGTTGGCAGCTGCTGAGATGTGTAAAGTACTTACATCTTCCCCTTAAAAACATAATCTTAGGATTAACAATGCTCATAGCTCTGAAGGACCCATTAGCCTATCTGTATTGATTACGGAGGGTACATTATGGAGACCCAGAGGATACAATTTATATTCAACAAGTAAGGCTGGCCAGAAAACAGAAACCTCAGGGGTCAAAGTCCCACGTGGATTCCTGGAGCTACTACTTACGGATTATAAATCATATCCTATGGTCCTTCGTTTTGTCTGTTTAGAGTGTAAAAAATAATTTGGTAAAGTATTAGGAAATTAGGTTAAAAGTGATAGATTTAAGGGTGAGCTGTAGAGTGCCAATCTTAATGACTCCATGTTCTGTGAGTTTATGGCGTACTGAACTTGGAACACTTTCTCATGACAGTTGTGTTGCAGTCTGCTGCCAAAAGCAGCTCTGTGGCCAACTGGCAAATAGAAGCCCGATGATGCTTGTGTTCCCTGATTCACATGAAAACAACCCTACGCAGAGGTCACACACACCACCAGGAGACCGTTTAAACCCAAGTCTCCAACAGCACTATAAATGCAACGTGGTTTGTCACTGACGGTGGAGGTTGTCACATGCTTTGGCTCCTGTGGGCTGCAGGAACTCAGGAAGTGGACTGCAGTGCACATTGCCACCCCCACCCCATACACACGTCAATAAAATAGATTTGTTGTTGCCAGCCTCAGTGAACCTTCTCCAGGCAATAGCAAAGGTGTCCATTTCCAGAAATAGTCCATTCATTTGACTATTAAAACAGTATTTTCTACAACAGAAGCTGCCTGTGCTGTTTCCAAGGCACTTTCAGCAAAATGAATGCAGCAATGGAGGGTTTAGTATGTTTGTACTCAATCTCCCCTGGAAATCATTCCAGGGATTAATATGTGATGTAATGTCACCTCCATGAAATATATAGAATACGTAATGGGATACGAGTCCAGCATGACTTCAATCATAATAGGGTACATCACTTCAAACAGTTTCACAAAGAGTTGTCTAATGACTATGCTCCTGAGGAAGAGGAGGTAAGCAGAGTCTCTTTGGGGTTGAACTGGCTCCAATGTAATGTTTGGCAAAGGACTACTAGAATTGAGTCAACCCTCTGTGATGGTCTTGGCTGCCCAGTTCCTGAGCCAGGCGGAGCGATAGTACTCCAAGATGGTAATGATAGACCAGACAGCCTGGCTCATTGAATTTGGAAGGGCAGACCAATCACTGGGGGTAAGGATTCTACCCACTCAGCCACTGTTAACCCTTCACGTCAAAGCTCTTTCAAGTAGGGTGGTCCTAGCTTGACAAACAGTGGGAAACTTGGCAGTGTTTTATAATAGTGAGTTGCACTGTTTTAGCTGAATAAACTCCAGTAGCAATCCAATACACTCGAACCCAAGTGTTGGTACTTAGCAATCTGAGTCTATACTCTCTGTGATTAGGCAAACTTGGTGCATCCCTCTGGGGAGAGAGTAATACTTCATACCAAACAAACAGAAACCATTACAATTGTGGAACTCTTAATACATTGGTTTGCATACTCTTAAACATGGTGACGGACTTCCATGAGTGTTGGACACCCACTTCCAAAATAGTCAGCAATGTAACTTTAGTCCTAAATTGTTCTGTGTATAGCTTGCTACAGTCACTGCATTTTACAGTAAATCCTCTGAAGTATTTTGAGACGTTCTCCTGATGTGAAATAACATTTTTTTACATTGATATAGCTCCTTTCATTTTGGGAGGACATCCCAAAGCATTTCACAGAACAAAAAAAATGTTTGAATGAAAGGTGCTGTATCAATTGTATGATTTCTTTAAATAGAAAACTCCAATGAATTAAAGTAGGGATGTGTAAAATAGATCTGAATTAATTGACTACTACTTCTACTCTACTCCCAATTTAGAACTGAATGCAAACCACCAAACCCGTCACATACCCTGAAGTGCATTTGCCAAGAATCATCTCAGCTGAGTTTCCACACTTTCCACACAAAAGTTTCACACTTCTATTGAGTTTCCCCCACAGACTAGATGTTCCACAGTTACATAATGGTCTCCAGAAACAATGGCAAAGGGTTCAACTGATGCAAAGAAGTCAGCGTGGGAATAAAAGAGCAAAAAGAATGAGGGAGAACAGCTGGAAAATAATGATTATTTAATTTCAAACCAAGACTAAGTCATTTTTACTTAAGGTTGCATACCACATACTTAATAAACATTGAAAAGCTATTTCCACAAATGTTGCATTAACTGTGCTCTGGATCTGTGCAGAACTATTTTTGGGGCCTACAGCTTTTAAACATGCTCAGGTGAAAATATTCCCTGGATAACAGAGTCCAGTACAGTTCCTGCCTCTTTGCACATCCCTAGTTTAAAGGAATGTTTCCAACATAATGAATGATATAAAAAATTACAGTAACTGCTGCAACAGACTTCTCCACTTCACCATAGTAATCTTTGATTAGATTAGGGAAAGCAGAGTGCTATATTGTAAAGGAGCTGCAGTCTATTGTGCTCAATTTTATATTTCTCCAGTTGAATGTCAACAAGACCGAGGCCCTCCTGCTTGGCTCCAGTCAGCACCTCCATACCACGGGAGCTGAGAGCATCTCCCTCCATGGATGCACTCTACATCTTTCGGAGCCAATATAGAATCTTGGCGTCCTGTTCGACCCTCAACAGTCCTTCATACCCCACATCCATGCCTTTCCCCACCTCCGCAACATCGCCCGGCTCCGCCATTGTCTCACACCACAGGCCTCCAAGACCCTCATACACGCATTCACAATATCCAGGCTCGACTTCGCAAACTCCCTGCTTGTCGGCCTCCCTCCAAAGGTTGCAGATAACCCAGAACTCTATCACCCCCATCCTCGCCCGACTCCACTGGCTTCCCTTCACACAGAGGATACAGTTCAAGTTCCGGGTCCTCACTTTCAAAGCCCTCCATGTACTTCCTCCACGCTACCTCTGCGACTTCCTAACTCCCTACCATCCTACCCATTACCTCTGCTCAGCAGGCTCCGGCCTGCTTCACGTCCCCCCATTGGTAGGGCTTGCCTTCAGCCACTCTGCCCCCACCGTCTGAAACTCCATCCTGCAGTCCCTCCACCTCGGCCCCTCCTTTGCCTCCTTCAAGACCTATCTCAAGACCCTCATCTTCAACCGTGCCTTCAGTCACCCTCCTTCCCCCCCCTGCCCTCCACCCTCCCGTATCCCCAGCTCGGGTCCGAAACACTGATTATCCCGTGCTTTCGGACGTCCCCCCAACGTGAATGGTGCTATACAAATGTAATTTTGTTGTTGTTCTCCATCTTATATTGTAGTGCTGTTAAGTCAGTTTGCTTCTGGGGAGAAAAACCTGAACATTTAAAGACTACTAACAGAAAAAAATATATATTTAGACTTTTTAAAAATTCCGATGCATTTTTTCTCATCAATAATATTGCAGATTTAATTTGACAGATTCATCCAGCAGTGTTTTTTTGTTGGTGCATGAATTTCATTTGTAACTTAAACAAAAAAGTCATTCAAAATCATCTTCAAAAAGGAAAAAGGATGAATTCTCTTCAGTTGAAAGCAATCCTAGCCTAGATCTCATTAGAGGCCGTGTAAATATATAATCGCCAACCATATTAAGTCTTTTAAACCAAAGGGAAAGGGTCTTTTTTTTGTTGCCAATCTATGAATGAAATGCATAATAAAACTAGAGCCAGGTTGATAAAATACGTTGTAGAAAGATACGACTGCACACAAAATAAATAAATAAATTGGAATAACCTCAGCTTAGTGTCATTCTCAGAGCTTTTTTCTGCTGCAGAAACACGGTGAGCCATTGGAGGGGTTAAAGCCGACAATCTATGAAAATTAAAATGCTCTGTTTCCTTAGTAACAAGTATGAGAGAGATCATTAATATGCACACACAGGAAAAAATGTTATTGCCATGTTTAGCATAGTCAGTACTAAGCCTAACAATCATGGTAAAGCCTTGAGCCCTTCCACTGTCATTACTGATATTTTAGTCTGTGTCACTCAGTCACTAGATTCTGCTATGAGTTCATAGACAGTGCAGTTATTATTTCACCTTATATTACATATTCAGCTTTTGAATCTCTCAGTATTTCGAAGGGGGCAGGATTGTGTGAACAAATATTACACATAAGAATGTCTATTTAAATTTCAAATAAATAATAATGATAGTAGTATCTAATGAATACTGAGAACATTATCCTTGTCCTGAGCTACTGATGTCGTTTGGTCAGGAACAAAAAGAAAATCAATGGATCATAATTCAACAACGTCCTCACCGCAGCTTTCGAATAAACTGAGTTACCCCACAGAACGCACACGTAATCCCCTGAGCAATCCATGTTAATCACAGCATGAGTTGTGATTTTACAGCACCACGAAAGCAAGACGCAAAGTGCAACAAATGTAAAACACTTGGACGCAGGTTTAAAAGGAGGGAAGTGTTATAAATCTCCGCTTTGGTCATTCATTCTGGATTTCTTAAAAAGCAATATGGAACTCGTAATCTAAAGTCACAGATAATTTGGGAACATGTCTGAGTGACTTTGTCTATTCAGGCATTCGCACATGCACAGTGAATGGTGAAATGTTAACCAAGTTTCCTTACTCCACACACCTGTTTACCTAGCAGTATGTAGGAACCCAGTTGCTAATCGATTGGCGGATCACTTTTAGGGGGTAATAATCTCTTTAATAAGAAAATTTTGGTCACTCAATCAACGATTGTTTGTGGGACACTGTTCTGCGCAATTGGCTGCCACAATTTGCCCACAAAATATACAGTCAATTCACTTGACAATATATTCTGTGAAGCGCTTTGAGACTTCTTGAAGACTATATCACATACAAGGATTATTATTATATATATTTTATCGCATCAATACTATTAACAGCACAAAGCTGCCGCCTTTCTGAAACGCACCGATTTTTACCTTGCTTCCAGGCTTTGGTCCTCTCTTTTTCGGTATCTTCAGTGGAAGGATGGATTTGGACGGAGCAACTGAGGTGCTCTGGGCAGCCAGTTTATAAGCTGATTGAAGGAGTTCCTGTCTTCGTTTTCTTCCTGGTTTCCTTCCCCTTCGCCCCGGCATGTGCTCTGAAGCTACTTTCATTGCAGATTGCATTTTGTTCTTTTCAGTTTGTGGTGGTGAGGGAATACTCTTCGTGATGGTAACTAAAAGAAGCGGTGACCAAAAAGAAGAAGGATTGAAATGAGAGGGAATAAAACAATCCAAAATTTACTGCACGAATTGACAAGTTTTTAGTTATGCATGTTAGATTCTTATTTTTAAATTTTCTCTCTTTTACACTTGTGTCAGCGTCTCCCTATGTTAAAGAAATTACTTCTGTCAATTTCTAAAATAATTGTCAGTCCTTCACTGCTTCATAATGAAGCTACCTGCACCTATCAACAATCATATTTATCCAAATTATGCACAGTAATAAAATCTGCTTGGATTACCACATTACCTTGCTAAAACACTACTTTTTAAAAACATGAAATACAACTAGACAAACCATTAGATCCTTCTTATTACCTGGTTAGCTGGACAACAACATCAAACCTCAGAGTAGCCAGTCAGGAACATATTTATTATACATGCACAATAAACTGAAAAAAATCTTTGCAATCCTTCTCCTTGTAAACTAAGACTCTAACAGCCCAGCGTTCCAGCTGCAAACATCTCATTAAACTAATGCATTCAGGGCAGAGCAGAAACTCAATTTGCCATGGCTACAACAGTGAATTTCCATTACGATGACAGCTTAAACCACATCATGTCCGGAAACCAACCAACCCTGTGCTTTCAGAAAAAAAACACACACATTACATGCACAAAATGAAGCCTGCGTGCAGTATCCCTTTCCTTCCTCTCAGACAGCTCAATGAGGAAATATACTGTCAAAAGAGAAACCCAAGATGTTCACGAAAAATTTTTTTTTTCTCAAAAACCACACGATTCCTAAAAATTAAATCAAACAGATCGCTATGTATTACTGGTGCTAATCGTGATTACATTGTAATCCTCTTTCTTCTTATGCCTGAAGCAGCAATATAATAGAATCCCGAAATGTTGCCTTTTTTTTGTTCTGACATTATTTGCTGAAGAACCCTGCACGGTACTTGAAACACAATGGTTCTCGGTCAGGCATTTTTCTAGTGTTACTCTTACAGGCTACCATATTTGGACCTCCTCCATTGTTTCCATGGAAACGGCACTGAAAATGTCAAGTCAGCACTCCACCGTCTGTCACTAACATAACTTACCCTCCATTCACATATGGGGACTGAGTGTGTGGCAACATATCTCTATGTATTTACATAGTAGCGGGCAGCACTACCGGCTAAATACGCATCGAAATTCCTTGACGTTACTGGTAAAGTGTCAACAGCTAACAAAATATTGACTTCAGAAGAACCAAAGAGACTACAATCAACTCCATGAGGTAGATGTTCAGAATGGCACGAGAAACAATCAATACTAACTTAATATTAACCTTGTGAACTTCAGCAGTGACATCTGTAAAGCTATAAATAGCACACTGTATACTCATCCAGTCTCACTGGTTTACATTCAGATCTGGAGAACAAGGCTGGGGTTTAATTGAGGGATTCAGAGGATACCCTAATCCATGAGAGCAAAGTTTGAGCAGTACATCATCTAAACACTTCCCTTGAGTTTTATCCTTCAAATAACTACTGCCTTTAACTCTTACTCAAGACTCAGTTGACCGTAAGGCGATTGCTAAAACTAGCAATTTATTTATCACATCATTATAAGAGTTTTAAAGTTGTAATGAAATATTGCCAAGGACATTTCTCTATTATAAAAAAAGCCTGGTATTTTTAGTGATAACCTATAATGCATTTCACCCGCAAAATACAGTCAATTCACTTTACAGTATATCCTGTGAAGTGGTTTGAGACGTCTCAAAGATGTGATAGGATGCTATATCAATTGCAAGGACTCTTATTAATGGATCCACCCCTCCTCCCTGAATAAAAAAGGTTGGGCTTTATTTGTTTAAAATCAATTAACTTTATTGCCATTATTTGGCAGCCAGGTGAGCTGAGTCAGTGTAATGTAGAGCCTGGGATATCCCTGCCAAATTGGGACATACTTGACGGATTACAACCAACAGAAATCATAACATTACAAAGCTATTCTCCTTGCACCCCTCCTATTTTTAAGTTTGTTACTCATATAATAATAATGTTTGATATAGCATATTTCACATTGGAAGTACTTCACAGGGTTTACTGTAAAGTCTATTGACTGGATTTTGTAGGTAAATATTGGGTTGTTTCCAAAACAACAATCTCCAATACCTGCACCACATAGAATGATATATCACGGAAACAGGCCATTCAGGCCAACTAGTCTGTGTTGCTCTTTATTACTCCACACAAGTCCCTAGTTGTTCCCCTCGATTCCTTTTTTCCCCCTCATTTAAGCAAGAGATGAACGCAATTCTGTCCTCAAATGACCAAGCGAAGTGAAAATGCTGGCCATTTTTTCTTTTCCATAGTTTATGAATTTATGAATTTCAACAGTAATCGTAATACCCACATCGCTTCCCTAGCTGAGATCAGGTCATGTGAGTCAATTCAATTACACGTTGGGCATTTACCAACTGCACCAATGTGGAGCATTCCGAAGGCTTTTATTAGCAATGATTTATAAACCTGTGTACAATGCCAGCCATAAGATTTAATAACCATCTCCCCAGGTGAGAGTAACTGGATACCTTTCTATATTAATTCTTTTTGGGCCCTCCCCCCATCCATCAGCCACAGAAACTCATGAACGTGCTTAAGAGTATCCAACCCAGGCAGAACTCCACGTATGTACACCACCTACATATGGAAATTTCCTTGTGTCTGGAATGGTGTGCGCACTCTTTCCCTGAAGAAATCTTTTTGTTAAAAAAAACAGGGAGGCTTAGAGTGCTGCAAGCAATATTGCTCTTTAAGGAGTTGCTGCAGTCTGAATAATGGGAGATATTTGCATTGTAATAATAATCCCTCCAAAAACCAAAAACAATAATAAAATTGGTCATTTTCAATCTACGACTGTTTGTGGGACATTGCTGTGCGCAATTGGCTGCCGTGTTCGCCCACAAATATACAGTCAATTCACTTTACAGTGTGTTCTGTGAAGCGCTTTGGGACGTCCTCCCGACGTGAAACGCGCTATATCAAATGCAAGGATTATTATTATTATTATTATTGTAACTCTTCCTGTTTTACAGATGGATACATCCACAGATCTTCCAACTGTGACTGGGGTTTCAATGTTTGGGGAATGAAAGTGCAACACCAAAACCATTGTGTTGGCGCATCATTTTGTTATACCATATAGGATTCAAAACCCTCTAACTTTTATTTATTTTGAGCTCTACAACCTCCCTTTTTAACCACCTCAATCCTAGTTTATTCTTTACATGTTTGGATCTTATAGAATTAAGCATATCCATACCTCGTTAGGGTCATGACATTTTTCTCCCCTCAAAAGAGATTATTTGCAATTAATTTTCCAAACTTTTGGAACTGACTCGATTACCAGCACTTGCATGGTGAGCAACTCATGAAGATAGCAAATGAAACAACAAGCCCTTATACAACTAAAGTTGTGATATACTAAATTGTGTTTGCACCTGAATGTGTAGCATAATATCTGTTAACTTGCACTCAAAATAGAAATGAGGCATAAAGAACAGGTATCACACCCGAGACTTACCACTGATTTAATTCTATTTGTCTTCTGCTTCTTCGGGGATCTTGCACTTTATTCACTATGAGAACCGTCTGGCAAAGTGTGTTTTCAGACTGCACAGAATAATAGAGCTTGAGAAAACCTTGAAAACCCTACCAAACAATCAGCCAGGCTTCTGGTAGCCAGCCAGAAAGATGTCGCTGTTTACAACATGTTCACTGTTGACAGATTCAATAGTGGGAAGTGAAACTTTTAACACATGAACAACTTTAACATTCACTCACACACGTGCACACATACACACACAATGAAAATTAAACTCAATCATTCTCAGGCAGCAAAAACTGAGAAAGATTTATCAATGCTTATGTGAAGGAGAGGAGGAAAGGCTAGGACATACAAGACTGAAGACATAACATTTCTCCTGCACGCACATTTTTTCAATGTTATTTGATTATACTTTTAAAAACTGACTCGAAACAAGGAATCACTTGATGCTGTGCTTTAATTTATCTTTTTCTGTCTGCTGGGCTGACCTTCGTGGGGGAAAAAAAATTAAGCATACCATCTCTGTAACCATGTTATGTTTCTGTTGTTATTTAGCTCTCCACTTCCATAATCCACACGCTTCCCCATGAAAATACACTCTTTAAAAATGTGGCCCCTTCCAGTGTAACTAAATCAACATAAAGTAACTCCTTTGACCGCAACCAGCATTCAGCTACTAAGAGTAATTGGTTTTATAGCCTTGTGTATCATGCCAAATCTGACGTCAAAGAATTGAAGCATAAAAACTTGCTAAGAGCTATCTGAACAACCCTGTTATTCAATTACATAACTGTCATGCAGGAACATGGGCTTACATTGATGCAATAAGTTTCAGAGGCCACCTACGATTAAACTTACTTTAATCAAGTAGAGAGGAGTTACATTTATTCTGCGACTTGATGTGAAGATGAATGTCCTCAGGTCTCTTCAAAGGAAAGTTATAGCTTTGTTCCTAATGCAAATGTTTATTTCACGCCCCGTGGTAAAGATCTCAAAGGTAGAATGGGGGTAATTTTACTCCTCCACAGGTTCACCAGAACTGGAGAAAGTAAAACTCTCAAGAGAGTTGTGTTGACTTTAATGTCTTCCATCCAAAATTACAGAAGAATATGAGAGGGAGGGAGGGAGGGAGGGAAGTGCGTGTGTGTGTGTTATTGCTGAATGCACAGGGGACATTTTAAAAAAACAAAAGGCTTCATACCCGGTCATCAAAGCCTATCAAACAGCAGCATCTAAAGCTCAGGCAATGGCTATGAATGTTTACTGCTTGATTTTTAGAAACTGTGGTCAAGGAATCCCCTAACCAACACAGAAGCCACAATACCTCCCCCTCCCTGGCTCAAATATCTGGTCAGGTGTCTGAAAACATCAATAGCAATACTTCATTACTCTCCGTCAATATTACAATAAAGCTGGGCAGAGCCATTGGCCACTCACATGCTCGGAAACTTTTTTAAAAAAGTACAACACACAACAACATTACATTTGTATAGTGTCTTTCAAGTCGGGAGGTTGTCCCATGGTGCTGGACAGTCAGTGTTTCGGACCCGAGCTGGGAGTCGAGATCGGGGAGGTTGGAGAGCAACGAGGGAAGGAGAGTGATCGAAGGCACGGTCAAAGAGGGTCTTGAGATGAGTCTTGAAGGAGGCAAGGGAGGGAGTTCCAAAGGGTGGGGGCAGAGTGGCTGAAGTACTGTATATAAACAAACCAACAGAGGAAATCACCCTCACAGTAAACCGAGGCTATGTTTGCTAACTCTCTTGGTAGTGTTGCAACACTTTCAGAGAATAGTGGAGTCTGGCACAGAGAAACTGTTTGCCTTTCTGTGCACAAAAGCACTGCTGGGTAATGATAGAGAGCCACAGCGCTCCTATCAGATAAATTAAGTAATCTAGGTAAGGACCAGAAGGAAAGAAAGAAAATCAAGGTGAGGAAAAGGCGAGAAGTCAGCACGGCTCAATCAGAAGAACTCTTGCCTCGGAGTCAGAAGGTTGTGGGTTCAAGCCCCACATCGTGTCTTGGCACCCAAACAGTCTAAGATGACACTCCAATGTGGTGCTGGGAGTATGCTGCATTGTTGGAGGCTCTGTACATCGCCCCTTCCTCACTTCCTTCAAAGTCTACCTCAGGTCCTTCCACTTTGACTGCACTTTTGGCCATTTCCCCCCCTCCCCCCACCTTCCTACCCCACTAGCCCCACCACCAGACATTGAATCGAGGTCTCATCTGCCTCTTCAGGTGGATGTTAAAGATCCCGTGGAATTATTTTCAGTTACGGTCAGGGGTGGATTGTTCCACTCTGGGACAAAAGTGCACGGTGCAGAAAATACCAGGAACCTGTGGATTGAGTGATCAAATTATTATTATAATTTTTTTAAGGGATTAATATCCTTGGAAAGCAATGGACCAATCAGCTAAGAACCTGGTTCCTACTTACTGCTAGGTAAACAGAAGTGTGTGGAGTTAGGAAACTTGCCTAGGTTTGCACTCTGCCCAGAAATCGAACCTGGGTCCTCTTACTTATTCGCTCTAACCAATATGCTACAGGACTCCAGAGTTCCCACAAGCACTGTGACACACTCTTCCAGTTTACTTGCCACGTATTTGATCCCAGTGACTGTCATCAGGCTTTTTGACGAGAGGAGGTGTTCCCAGCTAAACCCGGTTGTTTTTCCATATTTGATGTCTTCGAACACAGAAATTGGGGGGGAGGGGGGAGACAGTGCTATTATTTCCCCCCCCTTCTTAGCCTAGGGTGATTGAGTGGACCAACTCGTAGTGTTCCATTGCCTCCCCAGCTGAGATCAGCTAATTCAAACCAGACCTAGGAATGAACAGCGTTGTAGTGAGTCTTAAATCTTACAAATTAATTTTTTATTCCTGTGATGTGCTTTTAGGGGTGTACTGAGCATGTCTCTGCCACTGTTTATAAATGCATAGGACCAGGAGATTTTATCAAAAAGTGTTTCCCTTTCAGAACTGGCAAACACATATGGGACCTGAGCAGATAGCTACATTGAGTACATTAGCCCCAGCACGTACACCAGGGGTCGAATGACCCCGTTCTGTGCTGTTAAATTGCTATGAAAAATGTCTTCAGTTGGCATTTTTACTAAACCATGTATCCGATTGAGTTCAAGCTGCCAAATAATTGTCTCTCCTCCATTTTCGATTCATTTGCTCCCTCCCTGAAATCCAAACCGTCTCCTATTCCACCTCTCCCCAGGTACAACAGCCACTTTCTCTCCATCAAATACCAACCCTGGGCGCAGATGTCCTCCAGCACTCTTCCCATGTCTTTTACATCCCTCACAATTTCTGCCACTGCTCTTACCACTACCCCCATGCTACACTCCATTTCTCCCTCTGAACTATCATCACCCATATGAAGTCATTCACCTGTTGCCTCGACCCCCTTTCCCATCCAGCTTCTGGTCATTCAACTCCCTCTCGTCTGCCCCTGCTGGTTGACAGTTAACAAATACCTCTCCTCAGGCACCATCTTGCTCCCCCTCAAAACTGTTGTTCTCTCCTCAAAAAACTCACCCTCAATCCTTCAAATTTCACAGCTGCGAGCCCATTTCTAATTTGCCCTTCATTTCAGAGGTCCTGGAATGCATTATGGCCAACCACCTTCGCTCACACCTCTCCCTCCACTCTCTTACTCGAGCCTCTCCAGTCCTGTTTCTGCTTTGCTTACAGGACAGACAAAGCACTCATCAAAGTCACAAAGGGCGTCCTCCCTCTCTGATCAGGGCCTTTTCTGTCCTCCTGGCTCTCTCTGCTGCTTTCAAACAGGTATAACAGAGGATTAAACTAAGTGGTTAACTCAAAGCACCAGTGGTTAGTAGTATGGTTTACCTCATCGATGATTGGCTTTAATGTAACTTGTAAATAATGCATCCCTGCTAGTTTCATAGTCTTATCAATGCACTTCCAGGTCAACGAGTTTCCTCGGAAGATGGTGTTGGGGTCCCTAAACAGATAAAAATGTACAATTAGCCGATTATCAGAATAAAAGAGCTGGACTATGATTTTACAGAGGATTATGTGAGTGTGTGCTTTTGGGGAGGAATGTACTTTTTTCTCTCCCACCAAGACCTGAGCCATTCTTCTAAAACCCAACAGAACAACATGATGTTCAGCATCATTCCTGCTTGGACACCCGCTTTGGGGTCTCAAACATCCAGTAACACCATTGGAACCATGTCTGTCAGTGACATAGGGGTCAGTGGCAATGAGATGTCCTGGATATCAATTCGGAGATACCTGCAAGTTGGAAATTCAGTCCACTCTGACCTTGTCAACACTACTTGCTTGACTGCCAGTTGATGGCTACTTATTGCATCCATGGAAGAGAGTGAATACACAACTGTCCTTCAGATAAGACTTTAATCTAAGGCCCTCTTCTACTTGTTCACATAAACTTTTAAAGATCCCACAACACTATCTAAAAGACAATTTCCCTGTGTCCGGATCACACAGATAAAATTGGTCATGCATTTCATTACTCTTTGTGGGACATTTCTGTGCAAATCCGGTGTCACGTTTACCTACAAAATACGTAGTCAATATTTACCTACACAAATTACAGTAACTCCCGAGAAAAGCTTTGAGACATTTCAATAATTTGATAAGGTGCTATTATTAAACACACAGATTATTATTTTTATTAATATGTGGAACAGTTTGAGACAGATAACGTGGGCACTTTCTGGAGATAATCGACGGCAAAGTTGTGTGAATTTGAGATAGTATTTGAAAGTGAAATTGGACAAACGGACTGTAATGGCTTTTTCTGGTTCTGTACATTCTGCTGTTCCTAAGGAGCTTTGTTGCTATATTATCCAAAGATTTGTCTTCACATAAATGTATGGTGTTCTGAATCAGTGTATCTTTTACTCACAGCGTCCTGTTTACTTCAACATTGGCAATCGCATTAATAAAGGATACAATCTTGCCACAATGTAAGAAGAATCTGTCGAGTGGCATTGCGGCCTCCTGTTTCTCGCGGCACACTTCACCGCGACGCTGAAACAGGCTGAAACAAACCAGAAAAGGGAAGAAAGATTCTCACCTTGGTTTCACCCAGTCCATCACTCATTATGCAAGAAAGAATGGGAGAAGCCACGTCAATAAAAACAGTAGAGATGCTGCAGCACGACATGTCAGGAGTTAGTGACACACACACACACGGACATGGGATGTGGCATCAACAACAACAACAACATTCCATTTATTGAGCGCCTTTCACGTCGGGAGGACATGTCAATCTCCAGCTCTACTATATTCCAGTTTTCTTGCCCAACCAGGGATTGCCTCACACAGATCCTAGACCCTAGGGAGAATCACGGCCTCAGTTGGCGGGCTCAGCAGAGAACTGGGTATGTGTGTTGGTGCTCGATACAATGAAAGGGAAAACTAAGATCAATATCTAAAACAAACCAGTGACCAATAAGCACAGTATTCTGCCTGTGGCTTGTAATTAAAGAAGGCATTACTTGGCAGTGACAGTGACTAGCTTCTCTCCTGGACGCATGTGTGCCATTACTAAGGTGCCAACAGAAGAGGGCAGCAGCACACTAGCACTGCACAACAATAACACAGTTTGCATTAAGCCATTTACTCTAAGAAATTTAAAATTAAGAAAAAATCTGTTTCTTGAGTAAAAACTAAATGCTCCAGCATTGCAATCTGAAACTTTCAATTTCTGTAAATATAAATAACCTATAAAAGGATAAAACAAACCACAAGAACACTTTATTGGCCATCGTTCAGCAGGACTTTTTTTCGTCCCAAGTAACAAATGAAATCTGCATCTTCACCCCCTTTTCTGTAAATATTAGTTAAGAAACTTGAATTTTCTCTTACTTTACTATGACTCCACAGTGGTCTTATCCCTCTTTTAACTATCCTCTTGCTTCTGATGTGCTGCTAAAATCCTTTGCTATTAGCCTTTGTGTCGACATGCTGTTATCTTCACATAGTTCAAATGCATTTGGGCAGATACAAAAGGCATCTTTCCAAAGCGTATCAACTTTAAGTTAAAGTTAGACAGAGGATCACTAAGGTAAGTTTAGAAAGCATGCATTAGTCACAGAGCAAGTCCTACCTCAACATCTGGAGACTTCAATAAAAGATCTCTCAAAGGATCACAGAAATGTGAAAGGAAAACATGGTTGTCAGTATAAACAATATTCAGCTTTAATGAACCCAAATCAGCTGGTTTCACTGGCTTGCCGTTGTCTCTTGGCTGTAGAAAATACCTGTTGATATTTGAGAAAGAAAATAGCAAAAAAAGTTTAAACAATTCCTCTACTGTTTATAAATGTCAGTAAAGTACCTAAATAAAGATTTACAAATAGTCAATTCATTTTATCAGGTTATCAACAAAGATCGAGTCAGATTCAAATTTTCTGTAAATTATGGGAAATATAAATGTTGTAGACCGTCAACCTTTCAGGTCAGTTTTTATGTTGTATATATTATCCTTTGCTATATAAGTTATACATTATTTTCAGAGATTAAAAGACATTTGACCTATTTAGGTCAAATTCAATTAAGCAATATCATTTGCCAGGAATGAATTTTCATATCCCTATATTCTGTCCAGTTAATTTGGGTCACTTCAACTTGGGTCACTTTAGGTCACTTTATTGATTGTTCCAACATTACAGCAGTGAACTGTCTATCTGTAGTCAGTTTTCTCTTTTTGATATGGTGAGCAGCAAATTAGTGCAGCATTTCATGTGAAATAAAATGAAGCTAGATATTTGCTGTAATAAAGAAATAAGAGGACTTTTTCATTGGCAAAACAGATACAAAACTTTCTGTGAAAGAACTTTATTTTGGAATCACAGCTAAAACCAATTAAATGAAGAACATCCAATGGTAGAACATATACACTGTAGTGGTACTGCAGTAAAAGGTTTACTGTTCGTCGCTCCTCCCATCACTGCAATTTAAGAAGAAAAACTTAATGCTTCTTTGGACTCAGTTTCCTGTAGCTTAGTGGTCAGAGCACTCGCCTCACCAGCGAGAGGACCTGGGTTTGATTCCGGGGCAGGGCGAAATGTTGGGCAAGTTTCCTTACTCCATACGCCTCTGTTTACCTAACAGTAAGTTGGAACCCGGTTGTTAGTCGATTGGCGGATCGCTTTTCCAGGGGTAATAATCCCTTACAAATAAATATTATCTTGGTCACTCAATCAACGACTATTTGTGGGACACTGTTTTGCGCAATCGGCTGCCGCATTTTGCCCACAAAATATACAGTCAATTCACTTTGCATTATATTCTGTGAAGTGCTTCAAGACGTCTCAAAGACGTGATGAGGCGCTATATCAAATGCAAGGATTATTATTATTATTCTACAAGTCTGCCTGGAGATTTCCCCTCTCACATTGTACCAAACAGCTGATAAACACTAACTTCCTCTTAAACAAAATACATAACGCCAACATTTTGTTTCTCGTTGAGACCCAAATGCATTGTTTCCTTCCCCTGCCTGCCTCCATATCTAGCACACCAACCCAGGTGCTCTCACACCACCTCAAACTTTCTAAAATATAGATTGCAATATTGATGCTTTTTATATTATCGTGCCAGAATGACAGAAAGTGAAGGCACTAAAACTTTTGTTTTGCTCCATAGCACATTCAGAAACCCTGGGATTCAGCTTTTACATTCTGTGCCTGTAAATGGCAAGACATTATCTTTCACTTTGCACATGTGAGAACTTAGGAAGGTTTTTTTATTCTGATTGACCTCTATTGAAAGAACGGTAGGGGCAACTTTACTCCTGGATGTTTACTCGGTTCCATTACATATTTGGGGTTTGAGAAAAAAAACGTTTAAATGCTCCACAGGTGCTCAAAACATATGATGTTAGCATGGCCTTTACATGGATACCTGGATCATCATCACTTATTTTGCTCTTGTGAAGCTCCTTTTCATTCTGCTGCTGGAAGCAACTTACGCAAACTGAGTTTTGGTTTGCTGATAAGAGTGAGCCTGCCTCAGAGCAAGGTCAAACACAGTGGAAAAAAGGCATTGATTCTAATCTGCTACAGCAGTTGGCTAACATGTGTCAATGACTGTTTTATTTGAGTGCTCCGAAACTCAACCCTGCAGGAAGGAAGCTGTATAAACGCAAGCTGTTGTTGCTGCTGATCCAATTACATAGAGTCACCCATCTTTACAGTTTTTCAACAAATCCCAATAAGTCAAATGGAACCAAACATTCTCAGTAGAAAGAGTGGCGACTGTTTGTCGAGGATTACCATGCTTGATGGGAAGAGGACTGCTTCAGAACCTTCAAAGGAAGTCGGAGCTCTCCAAGGTCGATCCTGAAAAATAAGAACATTTACAACTCTAGATGAAGCAACAAATGGACAACAACAAACAAAATTCCACTTGTATAGCGCCTTTCATGTGAGAAGGATGTCCCAAGGCGCTGGACAATCAGTGTTTTGGACCCGAGTTGGGGGTCAGAATCGGGGAGGGTGGAGGGCAGAGGGGTAAGGAAGGTGACCAAAGGCATGGTTGAAGAGGAGGGTCTTGGGACAAGTGTTGAAGGAGGCAAGGGAGGGGATGAGGCGGAGGGACTGCGGGTTGGGGTTCCAGAGGGTGGGGGCAGAGTGGCTGCAGACCCACCCACCAACGGTGGTGCGGGCGAGGCAGGAGATGTGAAGCAGACTGGAGTCCACTGAGCGGAGGGAGCAGGCAGGATGGTAGGGGCTTAGGAGGTCGTAGAAGTAGTCAGGAGCACGGCCATGGAGAGCTTTGAAGGTGGGGACCAGGATTTTGTACTGTATCCTCTGTGTGATGGGAAGTCAGTGGAGTCAGGCGAGGATGGAGGTGTTAGGGTCACAGAGCCTGGTGCGGAAGAGGACGCGCGCTGCGAAGTTCTGGATGATCTGTAGCCTATGGAGGGAGGAGTTGGGGAGGCCGACAAGCAGGGAGTTTGCGTGATTGAACCTGAATGTTATGATTGTGTGTATGAGTGGCCTGTGTGTGAGACAGTAGCGGAGCCAGGTGATGCTGCAGTGGTGGGGGAAGGCAGAGCAGGTCATGGCATGGATGTGGGGTAGAAAGGATAGTTGAGTCAAACAAGACCCCAAGGTTCCCGACTGGCTCAGTGAGGTGGAGTGTGCAGCCATGGATGGTGATGCTGTCAGTGCCTGAGGTGTGGAGGCGCTGACGGGAGCCAATCAGGAGAGCCTCCGTCTTGTTGACGATCAACTGTAGAAAATTAGCTCTCATCCAGGACTTGATGTCTGACAGACATTCTGTCAGGACGGTATTGGTCCTGGAGTCAAGGGTGGAGGCACAGAGGTAGAGTTGGGCATCTACATAGATGTAGAAGTTGACACCATGTCTGCGGATGATCTCACCAAGAGGGAGCATATAGATATTGAAGAAGAGGAGACCAAGGACAGAGTCCTGAGGAACCCCGCACAAGATGGTGCGGGGCCTAGAGGAGAAGCCGTTTGTGAAAATAAAGTGTAGACGGTATGAGAGGTAGGATCTGAACCATTCAAGGACAGATACGTTGAGGTGAGAGGAGAGGAGGTGGATGAGGATAGAGTGGTCGACGGTGTCAAAGGCAGCAGAGAGGTCCAGGAGGACGAGGAGGCAGAGGGAGCTCTGGTCGCAGATGGACAAAATGTCATTTGTCACTTTGACCTAAAGGTGTTTCTGTGCTGTGGGTGGCACGGAAACCCGACTGTAGGAGTTTGTGAAGGGAGTGGCGGGAGAGGAAGGAGCGAAGCTGGGAAGCAACAATTTGTTCCAGGACCTTGGAAAGGGAGGTTGGAGATGGGGCAGTAGTTTTGAGCACAGGGATGGTTCTAGGGAAGGTTTTTTTAAGGATAGGAGTAATGACGGCCATATTTAAAGGGGTAGGAATGGTTTGCCAGTGGACAGGGAGAGATTTATGATGTCTGTGAGTAGTCAGGCAAGGAGGAGGAGCTGGGAGGTAAGGAAAGGGTCGAGGAAGCAGGTGGTCCATTTCACACGGATTATAGTGGTGGTGAGAGGAGGATGAGACCGGTTCGAAGGTGTGGAGGGAGGGATGGGTAGGGGCCAGGGTGTGAGGGGGAGTTGGGGAGGGTAGTAGTCGGAAGGGCAGAGGCAGCTGAGCAGATCCCCTCAACTTTGGTTTTGAGGAAGTTCAGTATCTCCTCGCAGTTGGCGTTAGAGGAGAGGATGGGCGAGGAGTGAGAGGGTAGGCAGAGGAGGGCAAACGAGCTGGGACAAATACTTTGTAGCACTTTTGAGACATTTCGATGACGTGATAAGGTGCTATATCAAGGATAATTCTTTTCACAGGAATCTCAAGCCTAATCCGATTCCTTTTCTAGCAATACCAATTCACTCTGTTATGACATTTTCTATTTCACCAGCTTGTGCTTGCTCATAATATCCAGCTACAATTTTGCAAGATATCTACTTGATTTATCCCCGTTCAGCTCGTCTACAAATACACATTCAATAATATTTATTGTGAAGCACTGTGAGATGTTTCGACTTGATAAGGCACTTCAGCAAATGCAAAGATTATACGTTTTATCATCATTATTATCAATAAATTTTACGCCCTGGTTCATCCACTGAGTTAACTATCTAATCAACATGCACTGGATCCAAACTCAGGTTTCAGGAGTTAAAGGTTAGTGTTCTAAAGCAGTAAGAACATATATTCCTTCCAGGTCGAAAATAAGCAGGCACAAGACCAACTGAACAAACATTGTTGTGTAAAACCCACAACCAGTCACATAGCTCTTTACAGGAAGGATTAGCAGTCACAAAAGCTGTATCCGTAGACAATTAACTCATTGCTAGGTAAATGAAAGAGGATGCATCAATATGTGGTGTACAAAAGTGGATTAACAATATAAAATAAAAAACATTGATAGTAATTAGTAATGACTCGAGTAACACGTTGTTTACACTGATACCTGTTGCTGTAATTATGTGCTCAGCATTCGAATGCACCACCTGGTAATGCATTAAACCACCAACCTTCCACCAAATTTAAGACTTAAAAATGAAATCGAGAATAAATAAATATTTTACACAGAAGCATAGGTTAAAATTTTCTCTAAATTTTTATGTCTGATGTGCACAAGCATAACAGACAATGGCAATGAGCGCAGGCGAGCAATACAGGTACAGCTATCATGTTGCTGTGAGCACAATTCACTTTACTGGCTGGACAATCATCTTTATGGTCTGAGGACATCACTTTAGTAGCTTTTGTAGGTATGTTTGAAACATACTCCTGACATGAAAGGGGCTATATAAGTATAAATTGTATTAGTGTACTGTATTGTGTCTCAATTCATAAATTAGCGCTCTGTTTAAGATGATTTTTTTCAACATATAAAAGGATTGGACTAGTTTGCTTCTATCAATAAGGTGAAACGGTCAACAAAAATGAGTAAGAAATGTGCATATTTGTCTGTCCCCTCCTCCACTCCCTTCTGCTCTTAATTCATCCAAAAGCTGTCCAAATGTCATAAACAGGGCCAATAGAAAAGTGCGGCCGCACTTTGTCCATGGAATTCCCTCCTCACGACCTCCTCCGCTACTCACCCACTAATGAGTGAACCACGATAGAAATACCAGCTGCGGATTTCTCCGCATTTTCAATTTCAATTTGTCAAATGCACTGCAAATGTTTCTGCAATTTTCTACTGGCCCAGGTCAATTGACACAAAAATAAAGAGGCAGATATTGACTACATAGTTAAAGAAGCCAACAGTTCGATAATTTGAACCTAAAACAAGTTAATCCTATTTCTGTGCTTGCTCTTACTTGTGAAATTGGTCAAATTTAGAGCAGTAGTTAGGGATTCGATTACTAATCCCACACACAAATGGCAAACTCCCAGTTTAAAGAATCCAGTACCTGATCTGAGGAAATAATTTGCAAGTTTGGCTCAAATTGAATGAAAAACAGCTAAATGCACTAACAGTGAGGGCCAGTGTTGATGAGCACAAACATACAAGGATATGATTTTCAGTGCGCAAGAGACTTTTAAAAAGCTAGGAGTCTAATGAGAGAAATGGAACCTGGCTTCAAGATGACATGTTTGGTAATGCAGTACTCACTCATTCCCACTTAGCTCCCTGAAAGCCAAAGCCCTTACGGTAGGGTAGTTCCAAACTGGACAAACAGTGGGAAAGCTTGCCCGACAGTGCTCTCAATGCTATGCAGTTTTAGCTGGTTAGAATTAGGAGATGTTTGTTATTATTGCTGAACGTTAACTTTTTGGTTTGGTGTGTACACCACACTGTAATTCCCCACCCTATTGTACAGTGCACAGGAAATCAAGTTATTGGTCTGGGTGCACTGTGCTTCTGGTATAGTAGACCCGAGATGCTATTTAAATGCAAGTTGTTGTTGTGGACGCACACTAGGTCCAAGCTACAGGCAAACCTGTTTTCACCAAAATACTTTAACAAATTTGCCTGTAATTGTGCTGTGAATGCATTTAACTGGAAAACGGTTTAACTGTCCCCACTCCCTGGCTTGAGAGTCCCACAGTGGAGTTTTGTTTTCTTTGTGGTAGGATATTGCCAATTAAAATACCAGCAGTTCCATCAGGGGGAGCCCTTGTTCCTAAGTGCTCAGTTTTCATTCACTTAATTCTCTTCATTTATAGATCAGGAACTACTGAATGAAACAATAAAAATGCATGCACACGATATTTTAAATGTAAACATATTGGTTTATAAAATGCCCCCAAAAAGGGGGCAGGAAAAGGAAGATGGAGATGAGGGAAATTTGTTGCCTGGCCAAGTCCACCCCAAGTTCTGCATACACACTCCCCAGTAATGTAGAATCTGTTACTTATTTGAAAATAGGGAACTGATCACATCAACGTTCCCTGCAGATTTCAAGTAACAGAACATCTGCCTTCTCAGGAAACAAACAGGTCACTAGACACTGCCACTACAGAATTCCACCAGCCTAAGTCTTTTCAAGATATTCTTCCACAGTGACTCATCTCTTGAGCAGATCAAGGAAGAACATGTCAGCTTTTGTACAATAACCTTATTCAAATAATACCATTCACAATTCTCGAGACATTTATAATAATAATTATTACTTTGCATTTGTTATAGCACCTTATCACATTGTCTAGAAGTCTCAAATTACTTTGCAGGACTTGTACTCTTGAGTCTAGTGACTGTATTTTGTAGGCAAAATTACGTGGCAGTCAATTTGCACATAGCTATGATAACTAAGAAACTCTGAACTGAATGAACAATTTGACCTGGACAATTGTTGGCCAGGAGATGCTCCCTTCTCTTTTTGAATAGTTTGATCTGAAATGTCCACCTGAACAGGCAGTCAGGGACTTAAGTTTAGCAAACTCACCCAAAGGATGGCACTTCTGTATGTTTTTATTCTCATCAAAGCTACACGGTAGTTGGTGGCACTCTTGCCTCGGACTCAGAGGTTGTGAGTTTATGGCTGACGGCAGGATTTTGAACTCACAATCTAGGCTGAGACTCCACAGTCAGTACACTTACAATAAATCCTGTGAAGCACTTGGGAGACATCTGCCGGCCATGAAAGGCACTATATTCAACACAAGAATCATTATTAGAATTAAGCACATACATGCACAGGGCACCCAAATTTCCTCAGCTCCCTCTCTCTCTAACATCTCATCTCGAAGGACAGCATCTTCTGGAGCGCTCTCCAGAACGGTATTCGAGTGTCAGCCACCCTCTCCCCCCTCAATCACCCTCTCCCCCCTCAATCACCCTCTCCCCCCTCCATCACCCTCCCCCCCCTCAATCCCCCTCTCCCCCCTCAATCACCCTCTCCCCCCTCAATCACCCTCTCCCCCCTCAATCACCCTCTCCCTCCTCCTTCCTCAATCACGCTCTCCCTTTCCCTCTTTCTCACCCTCTCCCCCCTCAATCACCCTCTCCCTCCTCCTCCCTCCTCAATCACTCTCTCCCTTTTCTTCTTTCTCACTCCTTCTCCCTCGCCCCCCATCCCCTTCTCACCCCCATGGAGTCCCGTAGCTCAGTGGTTAGAGCGCTCGCTTTGCGAGCGATAGACCAGAGTTCAATCCCCGGCGGCTCAGGGCGAAACCTTGGGCAAGTTTCCTTACTCCACACAGAGCCTAATGATAATCCCTCCAAAACCAAAAAGCAATAATAAATTGGTCATTTTCAATGCACGACTGTTTGTGGGACATTGCTGTGCGCAATTGGCTGCCGCGTTCCGCCCACAAATATACAGTCAATTCACTTAGCAGTCTATGCTGTGAAGCGCTTTGAGACGTCGGGAAGACGTGATCAGGTGCTATATCAAAGGCAAGTGTTATTATTATTAATTCCTCCCTCCCTCCCTCTCTCCTCTCTCCTCCCTCCCTGTGAGTCCCTCTGCCCTCCCTCCCCTCTCGCACAGCCTGGGCTGTCAGCCTGTTTGGAGCTGCCCTGAGCGGGCGGCCCTCCTCACCTCTCCTCTCCTCTGCTCCAGGGCTTCTCTGCACACGGGCCTCTGGACACAGCGGCACAGACAGCGGCACCGCCCCCACACCCCCCTCACTGGGTCTCGGTCACTCTCGGCTCCGTGCGCGCGCGTGTGTGTGTGTGCGCGCGCGTGTGTGTGTGTGTCGGCGCGCGCCTGAGGCCCAGTCAGTGAGAGCGGCAGGGCGCCTGTCGCGGGGCGTGCTGGGAGATGTAGTGCGACCGGAAGCCAACTACACATCCCAGCAGGCACCACTCGCACGCCAATCACTCCAGCCCCGCCCACCTGCGGCCCCGCCCACCTGCGGCCCCGCCCACCTGCGGCCCCGCCCACCTGCGGCCCCGCCCCGCCCAGCAAAGTGGTCCAACTGGTGCTGATGGATTACATCCCAGAGGGTGGCGGTGAAGGCTGTTTTTCAGACTGGGGGGAGGTACACAGCAGTGTCCCCCAAGGGGCAGTGTTAGGACCACTGCTCTCTTTAACATGTTTTTTTTTTTAACTTCGAATTTTTAAAGTTCGCAGATGACGCAAAACTTGCAAAAGTAGTAAACGTTTCAGTCCGTGACTGTTTGTGTCACAATGTGCTGCTGCGTTTCACCCACAAAATATACAGTCAATTCACTTTACAGTGTATTCTGTGAAGCACTTTGAGACGTCTCAAAGACGATGATCAGGATTATTATTATATTTATTATAAACAGCGAGGAGGATAGTAGCAGACTGCAGAAGGACATAGGCAGATTTAATTGAAGTGTTCAAAATTATGAGCGGTTTTGATAGAGTTGAAAGGGGAAAACTTTTACCAGTTGTTTTAAATCTGTGTCCTCTGGTGGGTGGGTCAGTAATCAGAGGACACAGACTTGAAATAATTTGTAAAAGAACTAGAGGGGAGACCAGGAGAATTTTCCACCCATTTCCACCCATTCTCTTTTCGAACCCCTTCAGTCAGGTTTCCGTGCTGCCCATAGCACAGAAACTGCCCTGGTCAAGGTCACCAATGATATCCTGACCATCTGTGACCAGGGCTCCCTCTGTCTCCTCGTTCTCCTCGACCTATCGGCAGCATTCGATACGGTCGACCACGCTATCCTACTCCACCGCTTGTCCTCCCACCTCAACCTTCAAGGCACTGTCCTTGAATGGTTTAGGTCGTACCTTTCTCACCGTCTTCACTTTGTCTCAACGAATGGCTTCTCCTCCACCCCCCGTACTGTCTCATGTGGTGTCCCTCAGGGCTCTATCCTCGGTCCCCTCCTCTTCACCCTCTATATGCTCCCCCTCGGTGACATCATCCGCAGACATGGAGTTAACTTCCACATGTATGCGGATGACACCCAACTCTACCTTTCCTCCTCTACTCTCAACTCCACGACCACCGATGTCCTGACAGCCTGCCTGTCCGACATCGAGTCCTGGACGAGAGACAACTTTCTTCAGCTCAACGTGCGAAAAACCGAGGCCCTCCTGATTGGCTCACGTCAGCGCCTCCGCACCTCAGGCGCTGACACCATCAGCATCCAAGGCTGCACTCTCCACCTCTCAAAGCCAGTCAGGAACCTCGGCGTTTTGTTCGACCCTGAGCTGTCCTTTCTCCCTCACATCCGCACTACAACTGGCACCGCCTTCCATCACCTTCGGAACATCGCCAGACTACGGCATTACCTCACCCCTCACGCTGCTGAAACCCTGGTCCACGCCTTTGTCACCTCAAGGCTGGACTATGGGAACTCTCTCCTCGTCGGCCTTCCCGCCACCTCCCTCCACAAGCTGCAGGTCATTCAGAACTCTGCAGCTCGTGTACTGTCCCGCACCAGGCTTCGCGACCACATCACTCCCACCCTCGCTCGCCTCCACTGGCTCCCCATCCCCCAGAGGATTGATTTCAAGATCCTCATCCTCACCTACAAGGCCATTCACGGCCTTGCTCCCTCCTACCTCTCCAACCTACTATCCCCCTACCTACCTGCCCGTACCCTCCGTTCCTCTGGCTCTGGTCTGCTCCACGTCCCCCGCCCCAACCGCCCTACCATCGGTGGTCGGGCCTTCAGCCTCTCAGCCCCTAGGCTCTGGAACTCCATCCCCCAGTGCCTTCGCCGCCTCCTCCCTTTCCTCCTTCAAGGCCGGTCTCAAAACCTTTCTCTTTGACTGTGCCTTCAGCTCCCCTCTCGACTCTCTTCCCCCTCCTCGCTCCCTCCCTTCCCTCCCCTCACCCTGACCATTTCCCCCCTCCTTGCTCCCTCCCTTCCCTCACCCTGACCATTTCCCCCCTGCTCGGGTCATGACCCAACTGTGCAGCGCCTTGGGACGTCCTCCTGACGTGAAAGGCGCTTTATAAATGGAATCTTGTTGTTGTTGTTCTTTTAAACCAAGAGAGTTGTTGCAGTCTGGAATGCATTGCCTGGTGGAAGCATATTCAACAATAGCTTTCAAAAGGAAATTAGATAAGTACCAAAAGGGAAAAATATGTAAGCTATGGGGTAAGAGTGAGGGAATGGGACCAGTTGGTAGCTCTTTCAAAGAGCCGGCACAGGTACAATGGGCCGAATGGCCTCCTTCTGTGCTATAAAATGCTATGATAATTCCAAATCACAAATAGACAGAGCCAATACCACATTTTGTACCCTCATGGTCAGAAATTGAATGTTACTTGACTGTGCGAGGCAGTGAGATCAGATACACAGCCCGGAACAAGTATCCCAAATGGTTGATGTGATCAGGGAAGTCGACACATTGGAGTGAGGATGGTTCAAGGGAATCAAATCAGTTTAGTTTTACAACCATTACAACCACGAGAGGGTGCTGTAGAGGGACCCGAAATATGAAAATTAGGTTCCCATACACCTCCGACTGCAACTTCAGCACCGGGATACCAAAAGTGCTTGATGTGGAAATTTATAATCACAATCTAGGTGTAGTGGGAAATTATAATAACAGTCCAGGATGTACTGACACTTGAGTGTGCTGGATTTAAACCAGCAAAGTCCTGCTCTGTGAACTGTAACTCTATCCACTCCATCATCAGGGCTGCCACTTCCCATCTGGACCACCTAATCTTATCTCACTCCTCTGCTCACTCCCCACACTCCTCAATATTCCTCTTTAAGCATCTAATTACGTTTTTAAATAATTTATGGTCGAAGTCCTGCTCCTTGTTACAAACTGTCACTAGCAAAACTAAATCAGAATTAAAGCAAAACTCCCGAGAAAGGAGCCTGAACCTTGAATTTCATTTTGTACCAGCAAGCTTTTTAATAAATGAACAATGTGCATATTTTTCTACACTTTTAGTGTAAAAGGAGAACTATGAGTGATGTTACCTTTGTTCATCCACAAAATCAATTCACTTTATAGTACATCTTCTTTTGCGCTTTGAGACGTCTCGACTATGTGATAAAGTATTATATCAAATGCAAGTGTTATTTTTATTATGATCAAAGCGGCTCTTCTTATTTCAATGATTGCATGTAAGGGTCATGGGTGGGTTATAGAGGGCTGGCATTTCACCATTTGCAAAGCATGAATGTTTCCTCTATCAATTGTAAGGAGCTCAACCAAATATGAAATTGCTGAATGAAAAGCTTTCTATCATAAAATAGTTAAGGCTTATGTTGAAGCAATGGAAAGGATCCAAAAAGAATGCCCAGATGCTGTGACTGTCAAAGCCTGTTCTCACCTAAAAACAGATAATTACCTCGTGGGCTTGCACACACATTTCAATGAAAAAAGTAGACAGTATACATTGCATTATAGCATTCTGTGAAAAGTCTAATGCATTTCACATAAAGCACATCTCAAAATGTTGATTGATGTAATGATGAGCACGAATAATAATAAAAAAAATCCCTCTGTTGCATTTAACATCTATAATGTCAAATTGTAGAAAAATTGATGTACAGTAATTAAATGTAGTGACTTGTAGTGTTTGTAGACAGCCTGCACCCACAAGCTCTTTCGTGCCCCCTCCTCAGGCTTCCACAACCTTCATATCAAATCCCAAATGTGAGGAGATCAAGGACTTATTCTCTTCTAG